TTAAATTTTAAAAAATAAACAACAATTGCTGCTTCTAAATTAGAGATGCAACATACAAATATTTGGTATTTAGCCTATACTGCTGAACGCAGAATATTCATTTCGGACGAATAATGGAAGAATCGTCTGCCGAAGACAAAACTTAATTCGTTTACATCCATCTTTCTTGTTTTCTGCCCTGGAAAGGGTTTATTCGATTAACAAAATAATAATGAAGATAAACAAATTTGTGAAAGGTTCGATTAAAAGAAAAATCATTTTGTGACAGGTCCGTTTTTAAGCTAAAATATTTTGTGAAGGGTCCGTTTTCATGAAAAGATATTTTGTGAAGGGTCCGTTAACGGACCCAAATTTCTTCTAAACAGACCCCTGAGTAGTAATAATTTATTAAATAATATTTTAGATCACATTTGTAAGCTTAAGGTAATCATGTTAATAAATAAATTGATATAAGTTATATTTTTTTTGCAGCAAAAAGTTTTATAGCATTTTTTTTTAATTAAAATAAAAATTTCCACGTTGCTGCCTGAATCCCCAAATTTGCTTCATCGATCCATGCTATTTTGAATTGTGATGAATAAATATAATCGACTATTACTAATTCTTTTATATTTAAAATGTAGATATATCTGCACATGTGATCTTTCAAAAAATTATCTACTTGCACAACCAAATTATCTACTTCAATTATCCACCTGTTAGAGCCCTATTTCATTACAAGAAAAAAAATATTTCTTTCAGTTATAATAAGAATTTTTAAACAATTTGATAGTTACTTTAATTGTTTTTATGTCTTTTTTTATATTACATAAACTTATTAATTATGTATCATTAAAATTATTAATTATTTATAGTGTAAATTCTGTGTAAAGCACCTGTAGTGTCTTATTAATAGTTCAATTACACCTTAGATTTTACCTTCTGGAAAACAGGATAAGTCGTCCAAAGGGCCTCCAACTCCTGTGTCACCCACATCTCCTCCAAATGGCACTCTCACCTGTTTGATCAATGACAAAGACTTGAAACTGCTGAATAAATTAGGAGATGGCTCCTTTGGTGTTGTCATGAAAGGAGAGTGGACCACTGCTCCTGGTTCTTGTGTAAGTAATTGTCATACACCAAATATGTCGGCTCCACTAGAAGCCACGGTGATCCCTCGAAACTTAAGCTTCAAGTATATTTCTATCAGTTTAAAAGTTTATTCTTCATTTTTTTTTCTAAATAAAAATTGCTAGGAAAATTTAAAAACAATGCTAAACAACTGAGAAAAGAAAAGCCTGATTAGTTAATTAAAATGCTGAAAATGTCCGATAAAAGGAATTACAGTACCTAGAGTTTGATGTATCTGCTGAAACTATTGATCTATACACCTTATTGGCAAGAATAAGCCAGGGTGCATAGCATTTTTAAAAAATGCTGAAAGGTGCTTTTTTTTTCCATTTTTTAAAAGCCCTTAAAGGTGTTTTTAAAAAATGCTTAAATTTTCCTTTTTAAAATGCGATATTTTTTCTTTGCCTTGTTGATTTTCGTCACAAATTGATTTTCGCATTGTTCTATTCAACGTCTTCACAATTAATTAAACCACAATCCATTTTGGCGTACCTTCTGGTACCTAGTCTATGAAGGCTGAAATCATTTTATGTGTTTCATGAAATGCTAGCGGGTTCACATGTGTGTATACGGAGCAGGATTCAGTGGTAAGGATTCTTGCACTCTCAATTGCAACTCTAATGCATTTTGCGAGAGTTTCTCAATTTCAGGCTTTATTTTCCGCCCTCTGAAATTAAGCGGAAACATTTTTGCTCATCACTGGGACCAACTAAACATTGTAAATTTCTTTTCCTAATAGCAAAAAAAAATTTTATTTCCTGTTCTTTTGATTAGTGCACATATCCTAATTGTGATATTCTTTTAAAGTGCTTAAAATTTTTTCTCTTGAGTGCTTAAGAGGTGCTTATTTTTAGTTGATAAATTTGGCTATGCACCATGTAAAGGTTTTGTAATAAAATTTATGGATAAGGATAGAGCATAACTAAACTTATACTAAGGTTTATGCCACTGGCTACTAAATTGAGAAAAGTTGATGAAATCAGTCTGGAGAACTAGAGACATTTTTTCTGGGTGTTTGTAATCAGCCTGAACTTGATTGTTAATTCTAAGTTTGCAAAGCAAAATCGTGGCGAAAACTTGCCTGGAAGAATATGTCTGAGGCAAAAGAAAAAAAATTGCAGCAGTCTCTTTACACCAAATTTTTCTCTATAAGCATATTTTTAATCCAAACATTAAATAATATTCAAAATATTATCCATATAACAGAGCAGTTCTCTCTTTTATGAATTTTTCAAACTCTTATCCTTTTTGTCTTCAGTTATTTTGGAAATTTTTCAAACGCTTTTCTTTTCAATACAGTTATTTTTGAAAACTGCAACTGAAGGAATTTCTGTGCAGGAAATTCGTTCTCGCACTTGCCAGTGCTTAGAGCCACTTGTCAAACTCATTCTAACGATGACACATAATACTAGAATTCTATATGCTGGATTGTTTGTTCTTATTTTAAACTCTCTTTTGTAAATGTATTACTTTATTTTTAATTATAAATGATTATGTTTAGAAATAGGTAATTATATTTATATATTTTTCAAATTAAACTAACTAAAAATTTTATTATATTTACGTAATTAGTGTGAAAATCTCTAACCTTAGTGTAACAAAATCTTCTCTAAAATGAATGTTTAAACTCCAATAAGTTGATTTCATTATAAAAATACTCCACTGTAATTTATTTGCAAAAGTACATTAGCTTTTACATAAATAGATGCCGAAAGATAGCCTCAAACTGAAACAAAAATATTTTGTCCCTCTCTGAAGCCAAAGTCAAATATCGACTATTATTTAAAAAAAATATATTGAGATTTGTTAGTGCTGCATCGGATATCTTAATTAAATTTCATAGTTTTATTACTCCCATAAGCTCTTAAACTATCAAACCCATGTGCCTAAATTTAAATATATTTTTAAGCTTATTTTTGTGCTATATTTATTTTATATGGTATTTTTTTATTTGTCTATAGTTACCTGTTGCTGTTAAAATTTTAAAAGAAGATGCAGTCTCTCTTCCTGGTGCCTTCAAAGATTTTATTGAAGAAGTGAATGCTATGCACTCCTTAAATCACCCTAATTTAATTAGGTTGTTTGGCGTGGTTTTACTTTCCCCATTAATGATGGTAAGTTTTTTTTTTAATAAAATAAATACACTGGAATCAAAAATAGAAACTATTTTTATTTTATGTTGCCTTGCATTTTAAAAACAATGTCGAAACTGATAATTATGTTTGTGATAAAAAAAAGAATGTTCAGCAAAGCTATTTACTTTTTTTTGGTTGTTGTTCATATAAATCTACTTTTTTTTTATTTACAGGACTATTTTATTTTATTTAAAGTTAAATAATCTGTTACTTTATTTTTGAGGGAAATTTTTTAGTTCAACCTATGTTGCTCACCATTAATAACTCATACATTATCTGTATTTCGTTATTGTTTATTATTTTATCTAAAAATGAATGGTAATTTTTCATTGATAATAGACAATGCTTCATAAGAATATAAAACATTCGATTAAGTATTTAATTTGCAATGTAAATATTTGCCTAAGACTGTGTTACTTAGAAAGAGATTTAACTAGTTCTATTATATAAAGAGTTTCATTGATAACCTTTTGTTTGTGGAGTAGTGTTTGTTTGGATTTAAAAACCTTTCATGGAAATGGTCATTTAGCAATTAACTTTGTTACATCACAGAATAATAATAATAAATCCCTAATCTGTTCTTCCAAAACATTTTAACAAAGTCCCCACTGTTTGAATTATAATATATAAAGTTTAAGGATAGTCACAGTTTAGCTAAATACCAGAAAATGTAATCAAGTTTTCTTTTATCTAAAATATTTTTTTTATGCTCTTCAATAACTTTTGTTTGAAATGCATTCGTTTATACATTATAGCTTGTCATTTTTTTAATGAATTTAGTTTGAAAAATTTTAAAGTACTTTTTTTTTTAATGAAAAGCTTATTTATATTTATACCTTAAGTTTTATTTTTAGTTGCAGAATGCAAAGAACATTTCTGTTCTATTTTTTACTCTTCATTAAAATTTAATTTTTATTTTAAAATATTTCATTTCAGTTTTAGTCTTGCTTGTTTTTAGTCTTGTTTATTTATTTTATAAAATTTATTTAAAGAGCACAAATTAAATAAATCAACATGTTCTAAATGTAGATACATAGTAGTTATTTTGGTACCATAGATAATTTGTCTATAGCATTAAAACAGCGGAGTCCACCTAATTCTTCTGTTTGTATTCTTTGTGTTGCTTTTTTATTTCATATAAGAAAGCAGAACAATTTTAATCTTTTTATTTTATTAATTGTTTTGTGTTGAGCAGTGATTGCTCAGGAGATAGAGCTTCCACCTTCCAATGAGTGAGCCGGGTTCAAGTTGTGGCGATCGCAGGTCGATACGAATTCCACATCAAGCTTGCACTGACCACTATGCTGAAGTAAAATGTCCTCCGTGGTAGTTGTATCATCAATTAAAGTTCCTTTGCCATCAGGCTCACCGTGGGAGGTTTTCTTCTCATGTAACACAAATACGGGTTAGTTCCATCAAAAAGTTCTTCACAAAAGCAAATTTCTCTCAGTACTTGGTCCAGGAGTTCCCTTGTCTTCTGATATTGGGTTCAAAATTACAGGGCTACAGAGTTGAAGATAAGTAATTAATACAACAATTAGGTCAGGTGATTCAATGACTGTTATAAAATAAAATGAAACTGTTTTGTGTTATGTTGCTTTTGAAGACTAACTTGACTATTTCTGTTCTCGGGCTACCCCATTTGCTTCTTTACGATTAATTTTTACCTTTCTTTACTCAGGTTACAAGCTTTATGATTACTTTTTAAAACTAGTTTTTTTCTGGTCAGGTTACAGAGCTTGCACCCTTAGGATCATTGCGGGATAGTTTGCGGAAGGAATGCCACCACACCCCTGTGTCACTTCTAATTGAATATGCTGTTCAGATCGCTAATGGAATGGCCTACCTGGAATCCAAGCAATACATACACCGTGATTTGGCTACTCGGAATGTCTTATTGGCGACAAAAAGAAAAGTAATTACATAATATTTATTCTAATAGATTGTATTCAACATAGTATGACTTGATTTTATATTAAAATTGAGAACAAAGAAAATCAACGGGAATCAAGCATTTACGTAATTAATGTAAATGTTTGTGTTAATGTAATGTATTCATAATTAATGGAATGTAAATGTTCAACATAAATTGATGCTTTATCCTGCTGGAAAATCTGATTTGGGGTACCAATAATTAGATTTATAGCATTTTTTGTTGGTTGGTAGCCTCTGGAGGCCAGGTTAATTTGAACATGATAGATTTAACCTTCCCACTTCATTTATTGTAAAATTTGTTTATTTCTGTGATTTTTATTCTTAAAAAATTAATTTTAATTTCTGAAGGCAGTCTCATTTCGTGCTCCTTTTTCACACAAAATAGAAAAGTTAACTACCAAGATTTACGAAAGGAAGAACCTCGCTTTAAAACGGCTTATAAATTTAGAGAAATCAGAGAAGAAGGGTTAGGAATTTTAAATCAACTTGAGACTTGAGTCAAGACTTAGTCAAGTGCCTATAACACGTCTACACGTTGTTTCAATTAAATGAGAAAATAAAAGTAACAATAAATAAAAAAATAATAATAAATAAGTAGCATAGTGTCAAAATTTTAAATATTTTCCCAATAAAGCTTATTTCATTCTAAATTCATTTGTCTCATTAAACTTATTCTAAAATTAATGTGTTTTTAGCTATTGGTGATATAATATTAATATAGTGAATAAAATTGAGAATGGACTGCACTATTGTAATTATACTACTTTTATTGATTTTTATGATACAACTTATACCTTTTCTGGATTGCAAAGTTAACTATTGCAATTATTTAAAAAGTGTTGCCTTCCACCTACTCCATTTTCACAAAGTAGCTCCCATGGCAAAACATTTGCCCACCTTTAATCTAAACCTAATATTAAGTATTCTTTCTATTTACAAACTTGTTTGTCTTATCATTTGGTAGTAAATTCTTGGTCTCTTTTAGCTTGTTTGGATTTTTCCCATTCATTTTAAAACTTTTCTGACCATTTACTATTTTAGTTCTTTTGACTTTTATAATTTTTTCTCATTATTTCAAATTTATTTCAATTTTATCGTCATTTATTAAGACCTCTGTCCCCCGATTGTCGATTATAGGGGTCTTTTGACCCCCGACAGTAGCTGACTTCAGTTTTGCAATTTTTTTATCCCATATTCTACAGTTTAATTCCATTGTTTTATTAAGTGTTTATCACGAATCACTCAACTATTTCGTGATTACTTGTTGAATTGTAATATGTTGATATGTTTTTCTAAAAGTCCTCTGACTCCGTTTTAATGACTTTTTAATTTCTATATTTATCTATTTGTTTTGGACTGCGTTATTAACTGTTGATATTGTTATCAGTAAATTATAATATTCAATAAATACCACTGTGGTACTTCGCCCCCACTGGGGCTGATTCGAGCCTGTGCTTCCTTTCCTGGGGAGACTTGCAGCAATGAGTTTAAATTTTTCTCATATACACTTATCCCTGAGGAGGTCAAGGCAATCCTATTACTTATCGCTAGGTAGTTGATTCTGCAATGATTGCTAGAATATTACATGGTTTAAATTACATTAAAAATGTTTGAAAAAATCACAAATTGTAAAATTTTTTTGAAATCTTATGTGCATGAAGTATAAAGTTAAATGTAACAACATTAAATTGATAGTAAGTGTGGGAAATGCTATAGCAGCAACATCATTAATTTAACGAATTTTTATTCTTAATGATGCAATAACTCTCCCAGAAATTGAAACCAATGTATGAAATACATTATAATTAATTTTAACGTCATGATTATGAAACGTTATGAATAATTTTAATTTAACATCGAATTAACTGTTACTGTCAATTTGATGTTACTTTTGCTAACCTGTATATGTATATAAATATTATTATTATTATTTTTTTAAATGTATTAATAGCACACCAGAATGCCTCTAGATTTTAATAATAAATTTAACCATTTGTGATTTTTAAACTTTAACAGGGATGAGATTTTTCCGCATTTTAGCGGACTTCCGCTTTTTTCACTTTTATCTCTTGAATTTCAGCTTTTTTTATCAAAAATTCAGATTTTCTAAAAATTTCACTTTTTTTTATAAGTATTCCGCTTTTTTCAGAAAATTCACCGATTTTCAAAGAGAAACAAAAAATTTAAACTACATAGCTACCAATCCTTTCTCATTTTTACTTATGTTACCTATTTTCTCCTCTTTTGCACACAGCAGATAAGATTTTCCGAATTTTTTACCCGCCCTCCAGATAGATCCGATTTTCGTAGTTCAAACGACGCTGCTTCTGACAAGCCTTTTGGAGGTCCCAAGCCTGGAATCTGCTAATATCTCGATTCTTATTCACACGATTTTAATATCAAACATAGCTTTTCATATTTGCGTGTTGCGATTCTTATTCACGCAATTTGAATATTGTACGTTGCGATTCTTATTTACGAGATTTAAAAATCCGATATTGTGATTCGTACTTACGCCTTTTTAAAAACCTATGTAGCGATTCGTATTCACGCAAGTTTAAAATTCAATGTCTTGATTTGCTCATGCGGTTTATAATATCAAACATTGATTTTCATATTTATAGGTGATTCTAAAATAAGGCATTGGGATTCGCATTCACACATTCTAAAAATTATGCATCATAATTCTTATTTATGCAATCTAAAAATTGCGCATCATGATTCTTATTTACGCGATCTAAAAATTATGAATCGTGATTTGTGTTTACACGTTTTAAAAATTCGATATCCCAGTTTGTATTTTCTCATTTTCGAAATCGTACATCTAGTTTCATATTCATGTGATTTCAAAATCCATAATTGTTATTCATATTCACGCAATTTTAAGATCAACTATC